ATGAGTGTGTGTGTGTGTGACTTCCATCAAAGTGTTTGTTAATTGAAAGGTAATGTGTGAGGGTTTTCTCTTTTTTTTCTTTTGCACTATGTAAATACAGTACTGGTAAAAGTCTTGTAACTATTGTGAACAACAAAAAATGAAGGAGATAAAAAAAAAAAAATAATGGTTCGATGAAGTAAATCTATTTTGACTGTGTTGTCTTTCTATGGATATTTAAGACCGTGTCCCTCTGACTGTACTTCATCTGTAACATTGTTGGAGGCTGTTTCTCATAATCATGTTAACACTCTTAACCTATATGGACCGATGATTAACATCATTAAAATATTGTTTAAGTAAATTGAGTTGCTCTAATGCTTCATGATGTTGCCTGCAGATTCTACATAAACACCACAGCCATGATGGGAGCATCTCAGTGCTCCCAAAAACTTACTGGGGATGTGTAAAAGATTATCAGTGGGATTAAGACTTAGACAAATTTTTATTGTCATTTTGTATAAAGAGTTTACAAAACAAAATGTTGTTTGGTGGAGCTTTCAGACAGTAATCATGCAGTGTTTTTGGTGTTAACAGTCTGATGCATAGTCTGTGACATGATTTTGAGATTTTTTTCAGCAGTCTGACGGCGGTGGGAAAGAAGCTGTTGCGGCTGGACCTGTATTGAATGCTGTGAAGCCTCTTCCCAGAGGGCAGCAGGGAGAACAGTCCATGGTGGGGGGGTGAGGGGTCATTGATAATGTTAAGGGCTCGGGACACGCAGCGCTGGGGTGAAATGTCTTTAATGGAGGGAAGAGGAGCCCCGCTGATCCTCTGCCGTTCTCAAGACTCTTCTCATCTTCTTTCAGCCTGAGGCGCTGCAGCCTCCTTACCACACAGTGAGACAGCTGGTCAGAATGCTCTCTATGGTGCTTCTGTAGAAGGGTGTGAGGATGGGTGGGGGCAGGTGGGCTCTCCTCATCCTCAGCAGAAGTACATGCACTTTGGTGCTGTTGATTTAGCAGTGGAGCGTGGTTAGGACTTGTGTCACTGATACCAGCATCAGGCAGGGCCTGATCCAGCACTAAAAGGTTGGTATTAGTATGGGTGAGTACCAACAAATAGGGCACCGATATCATTATGAAAGCCAAAACTTTATTCAACTATTGTCACCCATTCCATGTAGGCAATAAAATCTTCTACTGGATTTACTTTGTATTAGTCTTTTTCCTGCTTCACAAAGGTAGGCAGCAGCTTGACAAAGCCATGATGGCAATTATTTTACATCCAAGCAGTATGCAGTTCTTCATATATAAACGCACACGTCAAATTAAAACAGATGTTATCGGTATGGAATCAGTATCGGACAATACTGCACAGGCAGGTATCGGTATCTGGGTTAAAAGGTGGCATTGGTGCAACCCTAGTTAGGACGGTTCTTCCTGAAGTCGAAGATGATCTCCTTCATCTTCTTCATGTTCAGGATCAGGCTGTTATATTAAGGTTTAATCTCTGGTGAGTGCTCTGTTTTGAACTGAGTTTGAATCAGAATCAGATAGTTTTTTATTTATACTACAAGTCAGTTTATTTAGTTTCAATTTGATCTCATCTGGCTAGAACGCCTTTCTCCATGTATGTGTTTTCCTTCTGTCCGTTAGAACTCTGCATTCTTTTCCCCATAATATTTCTGACCATATGGCTCTGAACCCAAGAGATACCTTTGGACTCTTGGGTAATGCTATGATTGATGCCTTCCTTGCTTACAGTGACTTTTTCTATACTCTCAGTTTTCAGACTATGGTTTAGGTAGCACTCATAGATCTTCCTAGGCTGGGATATTAACTCATAACCTTAACCTGCTTTAAAAATCATAATGGTCTCCTTACCTGTCTGCTGTGTTTCTTGGTTTAAGTGATGCTGTTTGATCACTAACGTTCAATATTGACCCTCTAAGGGTGTTTAAACTTGTTTAAACTTAGATCCAATAATACAACAGTGTTTACTAAAAAGGTGGCTTCTGTAGACCATTTGGAGTTTTTTGAGGACTGGGTTGCCCGAGTCTGTTCCTGGAGAGCTCCTGGAACAGACACCATTCTGCGACATCATACACGTTAGCAAATGATTAGACCTCCATGGCTCCAGCCTTATCAAAATATGACACTTTGTTCTTAGCTGAAGGACACCGCTCTCAATCCTTTGCCACGTACAAAATTAAGATTACAACTGTATATCCAAACAGAGGAACTTTCCTGTTTAGATTAAAACCTCAGTTCTGACATGCAACAGGCAGTCAATACCAAGGTGTAATAAACTCACACATCTTCAATGATAATTATCCTAACAATAATGAGTGAAAGGACAAGATAATGATTACAAGTGGCCGAAATGATTTTCCTTTGCAGGGTGGCTGGGCGCACCCTTCGAGATCTTGTGAGGAGCTCAGTTACCCGGCAGGAACTCAGAGGAGAGTCATTGCTCCTCCACATGGAAAGGAGCCAGCTGAAGTGGCAGGGCATCTGTTTCGGATACCTCCTGGTTGCCTCCCTCGGAAGGTGTTCCAGGCATATCCCATTAACCTTTGTGTCCTGGGCCTTCCACAAGGACATGCTGGAGGGACTATGTCTCTGAGCTGGCCTGGTGTTGCCTCAGGGTCCCCCCAGAGCAGCTGGAAGTCTGGGCATCTCTGCTTAGACTGCTGCCTCTGCGACCCAGCCCCAGATAAGCAGAAGTGGATGGATGGATGGATGGATGGATGGATGGATGGATGGATGGATGGATGGATGGACGGACAACAAAAACATGCACTTCTAAAAAGGTTACTTTAATTAGTACCTGCCAGAAAATAAGCTTAATTTTACATAATAACAGTTTATAGAATCTGAAATTAAGTTTTTAGAAGAGCAGATCGAGGTAAACAATGATAGTAGAAAACGGCCAGCAGGTGGAGACAAAGCTCAGCCAGGGCTCCACACTTTAGACACATTCTATATAGACTTTGAGGTTTGCTCCTTAGATGACACATCTCTTATGGTGTTATAGTCAAAAGCTGCCTTTACTGAAAAATGTGATGACGGGTTTCCAATAGTTCATACATTTCTTGGTTGCATAAACTAGATGTGCTTTTAAGATATCCTCCTTTGTTGTAGTAATTAACAACAATTTCCTAAATAGTTACTTTACTTTTAAGGTGTAAATGACATTCGTGCATCTCTGTCCTTTGGTGTTGGAATCCAGCATTCCTAAATTTAAAATATCAAACATAATAATAGAAAGCATTTCACAAATGTTCTTTATGCATTCTCTCTTTAGCTAGAAGCAGCATAGTTCCAATAGTATCTGGGAAGGTTTGTGGTACAAAAAGCATATGAATGGGATATTTGTACCTGTTTTATCAGGATTTTATTGAATTGAAGGTATAGCAGACTGCATCACATTCAGGCTAAAAAAAAAAAAAATAACTATAAAAACAACTATCACTAATTGAATATCATTAAGGATTATGGAGGACCTGAAATGCCAACATTAGAAATTAAAATAGACAAAAAAATAATAATAATTTTTTAAGTACCAATAAATGCACAAAAAAAGGCAATCTGTCCAACTTTTTTCATTTTTAAGTCTTAGTTATCATTATGTGTTATTTTTTTCAAATGTCAAATTTTGCATTTTTGTATTATATATTAATAATATCTGTATTTTTTCCCCCTCAGTTGTTAATTTTTGTCATTTTATTTATTGACACTATTCTGTTTTCCAAGTCTTAACAGAGGATCAGAGAGGGATATTCCTTATTAGAATTAGCATGGTGTTTAACAAGTAAATATATATTTTTGGCGTATACCTACTGAACGTATAAAGGAGAATGCTTAGACTTTTTATTCTGTGCGGAAACCATTATAATTTGTTCTAAAAGGTTAAGGGAACATTTAGAAGCAAAAAAATAAATCCTTAATAAAAGCCAAGTATGTCTAATGTAAGATCATTAACATTGTGAGTGCTTCATGGTGTTTAGGGATTTATTTTCTGATCATAGCAGATAGTTGTCACAACCCTAAAAGAATATGACATAGAACACAAAAATCCAAATGAAGTATTACCTATTAATAATAACTAATAATTTACCTCTGCATTTTACCCATCCTCTTGGGGAGCAGTAGTGGGCTGCCATTGCATGGCACCCAGGGATCAGTGTGGGGTTAAGGGTCTTTCTCAGAGCCAGAGTGTGGGAATGGGGTTCAAACTCAGAACCTCAGGATTCCAAGCTCTATTCCCTAACCTCTAGCCCACCATTCCCCATTATCATGTGTATTTTAAAGTCACAAATTTTTATATACTGCATCAAAAGTCATACTGAGTCAAAATCCTTGAATAATTTTTTTTTTTTGGTAATATCAATAGAGGTACGTTAAATACTCTCTTTTATAAACACATAAAATGTAATAAAAACAGTTTAAAAATAGAAGAAGGATGATCTTTTAATCAGTAGCAAATGTTGTATGTAAAATACTCTCCCACTGACGCCTGGTATATTATACTGATCTAAATCACACGGAAATGCAAATGGTTCATTTATTCCTCTTCCGCTTGTGTGTTCATGCAGGTCATTTGAATAATACGTTCATTTGATACACTGGGAAATTGCTTTTTATCAAGTAGATCAAGTCAGCCGGGCATTTTCTGCAAAACAGATGGTAAAACTTCCTTTTATTTAGAAATTAGATGGAAAGATTTCAGTGGAGGAAGCCAAGCTAATAATGCATTAATAATGCACCTTAAAAGCATCTCCAAGGTACAAGTGATGTTAACAGAGAGGGACAAAGCACTCTATTGGCTCTGCTTCAGTGTATAACTGTAGGTCCATGTAATGTGTGTCTCTGTGTTAGTGTGTGTGTGCAGAGCATGAGTCACCCTGCCTTACTCTGATTGGATGGTAGTTTATGGGTGAGGGAGGGGCAACAGTGCTTTAGGGTCTGTCTGTCAATCTATCCTCTGGTTCATTCATACATTCATCTGCTTGCACCATCATAGAGCGAGACAGAGGAAGTGAGCCAGAACCTTTCATTCATAAAATAAAATAAGTTCATTCATAAAAGCTGCACAGTTCTCCCAGAGCACAGACAGAAAGCACTGGTGTGGTGGAGCAGAGCAGAGCTGGAAGCTGGGTATCTGACCGGGAAAGTGTTCAGGTCAGTCAGGAGGTTTGAGACTTTACTCGGCATGACTGGAGCACAGCCGGCAGGACTCTGAGCTACACAGGACGGCCCCGGTCCCATTCGGGTGAGTTGAATTTGCTGTAATGTCCACTGAGAATCACATCTGCTGATCTAAGCACTGTTTTATGAACATAAGGGTTTATTTGTAAAAAAAAGCAAGTGGTTGGTAAAAAAAAACAGTTTTTTTCTGTAAAGTTTTGTTGGTTTTTTTGTAATTTCTTTGTCAGTAGTGAAACCAGGTCTCGTTTTTATCCCCTTTTCCCCCTTTTTAGTACTCTGATTATGAGAGAGCAAACCTTACTCTCTTTCAAGTCACAGACAGGACTCCTACCAGGTGGGTTCCTAATAAAGGTAGTTAACGAAAAAAAAAAAAAAAAACTTTTTCTGACTAAATTACAATTTGTTTTCCCTATCATCTGTAGGTATGCTGAAACGCACCAAATACAGCCGACTGCACAACGACTCCTTGACACCTTCGGAAGATCACCCTGATAGAATGCTGCCCTCCAAGAGGGACCTCTGCTTAGACTCTGATTTTGCTCAGATTGATCCAGGGACACCATCTCACCAGGGATCTTCCAGCCTGAGGAGCTTCATCCCCCGAGTGGCCAACATCTGCCTACAAAGTCCAAATTGCATGCGAAAAGGCCAGAGGGGTCAAGCGAACACAAAGATGGATAGAACTGTCAGTAAAAGGGACAATAGACCTCTGTCCAGAACAGACTGTGCATCTTTCCTCGGTGTGTCCTTCTCCAGTGGACCAAACGTGATCCCCCCAGCTCTCCTCTCCACAAAGCGTCCCATCACACTGCGCCGGATGCCAAGCCTTCCCTGCACTCTGTGCTCACAGCAAGACGACAGACTTTGCTGCTTGAAGGCTGTAGATGACTGTGCAGTGGTGAGGACCTCAAATAGAGCGGTTCACCATCACGTAAAGGTAACTGACCACTCATTATACCCGAGCACACGAAACCCAGCAATCACTAATAGTCTTTCCATGCCTTTCATTGTGTTTAAGCATCACTACATAACCTTTTCACAAAAAAAAAATGTAGTTTTCCACCTGAACGCCTGTGTCCCTGCATAGGGCCGGGATTACTATCTTTAATTCTTCCGCTGGCAAAACAAACAGACAAAGAAAACAGACAGTCCCTCATCTTTCTTTGCTCTTTCCACACCATCACGCTCACTTTCATACGTTCACCCCCCTTTCACACATACAGCTTCCTGTGTAGGCAGTAGTGACTCATCCTGGCTCTCTGCTCCTCTCTAGATCAACTCTGCTTGCTGGTGTGTGTGTTTGTTGGTGTGTGTGTGTGTGTGTGTGTGTGTGTGTGTGTGTGTGTGTGTGTGTGTGTGTGTGTGTGTGTCCGGCATTAGCAGGGCTCATGCTGTCCCATAACCGGAGGTGTGTTCACAAGGGAGATTAGGAGTGGGACTTGTGAGTTGACCGGCAATGGAAAAGAGAATGGACTGCCTGAATGTCCTCTATAAAGAGGCAGACACGCATATCACACTTCCGCCCACACACCCCATTCACATCTACACTTATTGATTTAAACCGGGTTCACATCAATTGATTTACTCATCCTGACTCCAGCCTATCAGGCCTGTTTAACTCAAACTCGTGACCAATGGGAGAGGGGCTGCACAATAAGGGAGGAAATGTTGCCTGGTTTCGTCAGTGTCTGTATTATCCTTTCCATGAATTTGCTATTGAGTGTCTTGTGGTTGTTTTAACTCTCTGTAGTTGTTTCGTAAATGGTGTTTTTGTTTTGTTTGTGTTTTTCAAGTACATGGGTAGCGTGGAAGTGATCCAATCCATGAGGACACTCGACTTTGATACAAGAATGCAAGTCACACGGTATGACACAGACAGACAAATCACACAGACACGCATGCTTACCAAGTTTCTGCTAGGGATCATTGAGCATGAGGAGAAAACTCACCTACTTGAGGTGTGTAGTCAAAGATGAGGTATTCTTCTCTAAATTCTGTAAGGTTTAAAAACAGCCTGGTTGAAATGCTTACATGCTCTCATCATAGGCATGAATGCAATGTAGATTTTTGAGTTTTGGTGATCCATCTGTGCCGTCCTTTATCTTGGATTAATTCACTGTTCAGCAGTTCAATTAAAATACGTTGTGAATTTTCTCTAGTCTACATGGGATCCAAGTGTCACATACTCAAGAATTTCTTTGGTTAGCTCTCACCTTAAGAAAACAAACTTATGGCTGTGCTTCGGTGGCACAGTGGTTGGCGCGCACAACCCATTTACAGACTCCTTAGGCCTCGACGCAGCCGACCTGGGTTTGAATCTGACCTGTAGTCCTTTGCTGAATGTCTCTCTCCCTTTCTTATACCCCCTTTTCCTGTCAGCCTACTGTCAATAAAACAAGACACTATTCTAGACATTTGCTAGGGGTGATGAATTGTGTATATATATATATATATATATATATATATATATATATATATATATATATATATATTATTTATTTTTTTTTTTTTTGGAAAAGACACCTTTTTTAAGATTTTGCACAAATTATCAGTACACTTATGTCTTTATCTATCAATCTTCTTTATCTATTTAAACAAACCATTTTCTTCTGCAATCATTTATCTTAGATTTATGTCTATTTGGCTTAACTGTTGTGCAGGAACATCCCGCTCTAACTGTACAGCTGATTTTAAAACCATTTTATAAAAACCGTCCATCTTTGTTATCAAATTCACCTTATTCAGTGTACCACAGCAATTCATGACAAAACATTTTCATAGCATGATGCTACCTCCACCATGCTTTGCATTGGTATATTCTACATCTCCAGGTGCTTCTGAGAATAGGGAGACTTCCCTACATGGGCCTGTAGTTGATTTGATCAGACCAGCTCCTGCATTGGATGCGGCCTGTTAGAGGGAGGCGTTCACTAGTATGCCATTACATTAGAACTAGATGTTAAATTGGCTTTAATGTGCACTGGAGCACACACTTAATAGAACAGACTACAATATTAACGTCACCGAAGCTGGTTTTGGATTGCCTGGACTGCATTCTGGCCCTGACGTACAAAACATGTATTGAACAAGCTGAAAACTGACGAATTTAACTGAGTATATTTAAAATAATCCATAATGGATTCAAACTTGACAAACAGGTCTTGTTATTGAAACTCATTAGAGTTGTATTGTTACTTGTTCATTTGACCATGAAAGAAGAAGCGTTTAAATGCATTCTTAAAGGCTGAAAATGGATTTTAAATTCAAGAGGGTAATAAATCTATGTAAACTTTTCTCTTAATGTCTTCAGCAATTTTTCATCTGTACAATTGTGCAAATAAAGAACAGATGTGCTGTTTCAAACAACTGTCAATGGTTATGGAGATTTGCTTTTATTATGTAGTAAAGAACAGTTAACCCTTTCATGCATAGTGATCACTACAGTGTACAGATGTTTAAAAGTGTTTTATATATATATATATATATATATATATANTATATATATATATATATATATATATATATATATATAATCTTCAATTTTCAATGGTCAGTGAAACCAAGTTGGCAGACATAGAGGGGAGCAGACTGAACACCTCAAATACTTTGGTTTTTACAGGGGAATCGATGAACCACCAACAGAATACCATATTACAACTATATCTATGCAACTACTTTCTTAGTATATAGCTTTTCCTACAGTATAAAATACATAAAGTACCCTTTATTGGACAGATCAATATTTCTTTGTAGAAAAAAGAAAAAATGTAAAAACTTGTTTTACATTCCTAAGGATGTATAAAAACATCCAAACTTTATTATTAATATCCATAAAGTTGGAAAAGCTTAAAGTAGAAAATATGTTTTCTATGTCAGTAATGTGATTAGGAAATGTTCGCATAGAGGGACAGAAAAAGGTCATCCCGAGGTCTGTAAGTACAAGGAAACACTCACAGAAAAAAATAATGGAAACATCCAAAAGGTTAAATTGTATATGGAAAATATTGGGGAAATTTAGCAGATATTTTCTGCATCTAAAGATTAAAGCTATCAAATTACGAGAGTCATATTTTCATAAATCAGACTGATCAAGTCAGACTCAAGTATTTTAGAAACAAGTCCCACAGAAAGACAGAGTTGATGCATTTTCACAAAAATATTTAGAAAAGGCAGTTTTTCAAACTTTGAGGCAATGGGTGAAACAAGTTTATAGAGAGAAAAAGTAAAAAAAAAAAATCTATTTGATCAAGAGACTTTGAGCTAAATTTGACTTTGCTTTTTTCTGGCAAAAATAAAGACTTAAAAAAAAGAAAATCAGAATAAAGATAAAGAGGGTAAAATTTTATGCACATAGAATGCATTATTCATATCTGTGAACACATAGCATTGAAAAACTGATGTTTTGCACGTGCTTAAAGGAGTATCAACATATCTTAACTCATATTCCACTTAACATATATGTACCAAAGCGGGCATGTGTAGCTTATTCAGTTTCAAAGAGGGGAAATCAAATTAAATGTATAATGTTTTATAAACCGGGGCATTCTCATCATCATTTGATATTGACATCCTAGTGCAGAATGCCAACACACAGCAACCACTGTTAACAACAGTGCTGCTGAGTGATGGGCCAGAAAATCCAATTAGATGAATTTCCTCCTAATGATCTCTCATAGTCTTATTAAAAAGCGAGCCAGTGAGGGAGAACACATCCATTACATAAAATGTTTTTTCAAGTAGGAGAAATGTTTTTTCCAGGAAATCCGCCATGTTGCACACATACTTTTCTGTGTTTTTATGTTTTCACCTCTCTGACCCAAACCTCCTCTTAGAAATCCTTAGGGGAATTTAAAGTTTTTCATCTTTTTCTGAGGATAAAATGTTGCTGCACTAGACAAGCTCCTCAGTCATATGTGATCCTTCTCAACCAAGTAAGATTCAGACTTTATACTCTAACCAAAATGGCCTGTCAAATAAAATACATTTGAAATGTAGGGTTTAAAGAATCCTTATATAATGAAACCCCTGGTAGCTTTTTCAGATCTCTTCTGATATCACCAGTTGTTAACCTTAAAGGCAGCAGCCATGTTGGATTTGAAGTCAAGGTTGTAGAGGAACTATAGAAACTGAAAGTTCTGTCAGTCAATTTATATCATCATCATCATCATCATCATCATCATCATCATCATCATCATCATCATCATCATCATCATCATCATTTATTTATTTATTTATAATGAGCTTTAAAAGCCTAAATGCCAATATGTTGTTGGGTTAGATAGATACAAACTAAAATTAAGATGATAATAATATTAATAATACAAATCATAATACAAAGTCAATAATAAAAATAGAAGGTTGACAGTATAAGCATAAACAAGCAAATCAAGCAAAGAAGGCTGTTCTAAAAGTCGTGCTTTCTGGAATTTATAGCCTGTTTATTAAAAGTAATGTGTCATTATCATCTGTAGAATCTTCTGGAAGTAGTTTGTAATGCATGCTTTTTAACAAATGTATCAAGATGCATTATTTTATCAGATAAAATGTGGCCTTCAAAGGTAAACGTTCAATAACAATAATGATATTTTTCTTGTGTTAACAGACTGAAAAGACTAGTTGCTTTAGCTCTGAAAGCTGGTTAGGCTTCCCATTCCTTCATGTTCTCCATGTGGGACGGTTCTGGCCACCTTAGGGCCTGTATGGTGGTGTTGAAGCAAGCAAGATCATCCCTTTTTCTGAAAAAACAGCTTAATACCTATATAATAATTGTTTGCCCAGAGATATTTTTCTGCTTCTTCAGCTCACGAGAACCATCGATTTGAATAATTAGGCTTGAATATGGTTTTGTTTGACCATAAGAAAAGTTAAGGCCACTTCAGTAGGCCCAGATGCCTTACTGACAGAATCCAGTCTTTTGTAACAAGATTTCTCCTGCATTCTTCAAATTCTTTAATGTTCGCTGTTGCCAATTTGTTAGCAAATAATTCAGTTAGTCTCAATAACTCAGTATTTTATGTATGAATATGAGTGTCTTTGCACTAAAGTGCAGATGTGTTTACACTACATAGATTTTACATTTCTTCACTGGTCATTTTTACTCCTTTTAACACACTGTTGTGATCTAAATCATTTTTTAAATCATCACTTTTATCCATCTATATTTACGGTTTATATTGATCATAAATTGCTATTATAGTAACTAAAGCCAAAGTTCTTCATAAAGACTTAAAACAAGTCATGTTCAAATCAAAGCCTGACTTTTGAGCTCCACCTGCACATAAATGGTTTTATCACTCGTTAGGGAGGAACTAGTGTGTCTTTAGTTATTGCATCAACAAAGTATAGAACGTGAAGTTGTTTTTAAAAAAAACACACAATTTCGAATTTTTTTATTCTTTGTTATCTATGTTACTTTAAGGAACAACTGCTCCAACCTTGTTTACTTTACAGTAGCTGCTTGTGTTGTGGTTTTTCTCCTTTTTCACATGCAAGTCACAGGATGCACCAAATCACATATTTACAAAAGTATCTCTGTGCTCCTGTATTTGACTGTGTACATGTTTATGTTCAATGTTTGTGCGCAGGGAGGCAATTAGCAGACTGTGTGAGAGGACTTCAGTGAAATCCTTGCTTAAAAGCAAGAGGGTAAGAAAGGCACAAACAAACAGCAGTCAGATGACAGATCAGTAGAGTAACTGGGCTTCTTTTCGTCATCAGTCTCCGTGCAAAGGAGTGTCTGCTGTTTTGGGTCAGATCAACATGCAGTTTTCTGGGAGCAGAGCCATCCTCACGGTCTCCACAGACAGTCTGACTCTGATCACGGCCTCCACTTTACAGGTAACACTTCAGGCAAGGTTGTACCTTCCTCACATTTAGAGTTTTGAGCAAAAAATCATGCAAACATTTATATTTTCACTTCTCTTGCCTTCCACAGAGGATTGTCTACTATCCCATGCAGGCCATTTCATTTGCCTCTGGAGGAGACCCAGTACGTTCTTGTTCTCATATATTCTGTATGATTAAATATTTAAAATTTTTACAGAGAGAAAAGAATTTAAATATGCAGTAAAATGTACGGTATTGTTTATTCTATGCTTTCAAAAGGTAGAACGAGTTCAGTGCTTGAAAAAAAATTACTCCTCTAAATAGAAAAATTCTTAAAAAGCTGCAAAGGCTTTTAAGGATCCTAGGAATTATCCATAATAATAATAATCTGTGTTTAAAAGAATCCAAAGCACAACTTGATGCAATCCTAATTTGTTGATTCACCACATTATAATGTCAACTATTAAAAACAATTATTTTAGCTTACTCATCGGATTTAATTCAAGGCCGTGTCTTCTCACTAGTTAAAAGTCTTCCCTTTCCAACACAATTATGAAGAAGTAACTAAATAAAGTAAAATGAAATTATATGTAGGCTATAGGCTTTTGATCTTGTTTTTTTTCTCTTGACTTATTTTCCTGCTGCAATGAATCACATGCTTTACATGAGTGCAGGAATCCTGAAGCATCTGCCTTTGGACACAGTCGTAGAAAAAAATAAACCTTTGGCCAGAACAATGGTATAAACATGATTTTAAAGAATATGAGACTGCCTCTGCTTTTTTTCCACATTTTGACATTTTAGATAATTAAACATTAGGTAAAAACAGTGTTCAGTGTTCAGTTCCCTTAATTTATCCTTACTGAATCCTATATGTGAGCATGGAGGGCTTATTAAAGATCAAGCCAAACCAGCCTACAGTAACAACATTTATGTCCAGATCCACCTTTCCATCCAAGGACTTACTGATATGCTTTAGATTCATTTTCTACTATGGAAACTAATTATACTTGTGCTTTTTGCTTCAAATTGGTAGACATACATTTTCCTTTAAAAAAGAAAAAACAGAAAAAAAAAAACATTTTCCTTTGCAGTATTCGAGATGACAGTAGAACCTAGGGTTCCATCCATCACAGCAAATCATCCAGGATCTGTAGAAATTGAGTTTTTTGGGGGTTGCATATCTCTAGGGAAAGTGAGGTAGGCTGGTTCTTTAGCAATTATTGCAGTTTTTGTTGTGTCTTACTCTCTAAATGAGTCATCAAAAATACCACTGGAGTAATTTAGATCAGTGACTGTTTTATGTTTTTTTTTTCATTTATGCAGAATTTCTCTCTGTAGGGATAATGGAGTGCTTCAGAAATTGCTTTATGATCCTTTCCAGTGTGAATGTTAGTGACTTTCACTATCATGTTTTGAGCACCTTATATCATGTGTTCTTTTAGCCTGCTTTATGTTGTCGTACATGTTCTATTTAATTGATTTCTTGACTTTATGGCAGAAATCTTGCAGGAATGTGCCAGGTGAAAAGAAAAAGGTGGAATTACTTTTTCCCTTTGGACAAAGTTGTTCTAGCTTTTTTCATTTCATAGACGAACTCATTACTTAAAAGTTGTTTTGTATTTACACAGGTTATCTTTTTCTGGTCTTAAAATTAATATGATTAGCTGAAACATTTAAATCTAACAAAAATAAAAGAGCCACTATATTTTCTTTACCCTATAATTAGGTAATAATTTAATCCTTAACCCTTTATCATCTGGTTTCACTATCCTAACATTTCAACAGTTTATTTTCAATAAATCCTTTTTATCTGTTAATCCCCCTTTATTCCCCCTGTGGCCACATTAGCTTCATTTTGACTGCTTTTGGGTTATTCATGAAGAGTCAAACTTCTCCCATCTAAAAAGCTCTTAATATAGCATATTAAAAGAAATGAAATAATGTTGAAAAATCATATGAGTTTAGATCAATCTCTAAGCAATAGGACAGCATCTATGGAGTAATTATAGTTGACGGTGAGCTGCTCACTGCTTAATGAGTTAGCTCAAATAAACCAGAAGTAAAACTCATTTTTGGAAAAGGAGCTCAGTGGATTACTTTTTTTGCAACCTTGATGAAAAGATTGTTTCCTGCTGACACTGCTCTTAAATCAGTATTAGACAGATGGCAAGAGATCGGTCCAACACAGAGGAGCATATTTAGCATGAATTGTCCTATCCCTGTTGTGTATTAGCCCTGAGGTTCAGAGATTTGGGAAGATAAAAGGCTTAAAGTCCAGAACGCCCTATCATTGTTTTCCTACATGTTTAACATTTTAGCATTCATTGTGTAGAAACATTCTGGTAAGTAAACAGGAAACTAAGGGATTTGTTAAATGTTGCTATGCATCTCTGCTAATAGGAATAAGAAACAAAAACTATATATAACAAGATAGATAGATGATAGATAGATAGATAGATAGATAGATAGATAGATAGATAGATAGATAGATAGATAGATAG